TAACAACAACATTAAAAACACACATAGAAATTTTTAGATAAAGACAGCTGAATGAACAAGAAAGGCCAAGGACAAGGTTGACACCCCAAGTTCATGAAGTTCAGGTCTGGAATACTTGCTATGAATCTAACTCTGCACTTCTTAGCAGCCACATCATAAAGAAGGGAAAAGGATCAATAACATTACCCATGTTGTTGTTGTTGTTATGTGCCATCGAGTCAGCCCCGACTCATAACATTACCCATAGGGTCTTAAAATATTAAAAAAAATAACAAGTAGTTTAGATGAATATTAGCTATTACCTGGTGTTCTGCCTTAAATGTTATTAAGAAACCATGTGATGTAGTGAACAAGATTCTCAAAAACATCTCAAAACTGAATACAATAATTGGTTTCATAGGATCTCTTCTTAACATTGTCCCTAAATCTTGAACTTCAAAAGTAATTAATTTGTGGAGTGAAATGCTGCTCTGCTTCTCTCATCTCAGCTAGCCATCTTTCATATAGGGTGTTCCTGGCCATACAAGGGATGGATAAGGGTTTGTGAATAGTGTAGGGCTACATTTTTCAACTTCTCAATATAATCTTTTCTCCTGAATGTCACTGTACAATATATTAATTTGTGAATAAATGTGAAAATGGAAAGAAGAGGCAGTAACACAGTCCCTTATTCCAACCTCATGTAACCCCACTATCTCTGAAGCAGTCCTCATCAGGTACCTCTGTGAAATCTTAAGGACTTCAAAGATAACATCTGGAAAAACATCATTACTGATAGAAAACTTTAAGCATAGCCTATCTGTGAGAGAGTTCTGTTATCTTCATATCCAAAGATAATTACATTACCCCAAGCCAATCTTTTTCGTATGTCCAGTTTTGTCATTTTAACTTTAAAGGTTTTATTATACTTTTCAAAAGAGGTATTATTCAGAAAAAAATTCAATACTTATATGGTAATAAGTAAAACAATTTGCTACTGTATTTCTTTGGAGTATTTTGAGGAACAGTATAGGAAAATCGCTATCAAACTTTAGTGTGCTAAAGTATTTCTTTGCAAGACTAAAGATTCTAAAGTCCAACCCTCAAAGATTCTGATTTAGCAAGTAAAGGGTGAAGTCCAAGGATCTGCATTTAAAAAAGTAACCTATATAATGATAATAAAGATGAATTTGTGGACTCAACTTCAGGGAACACTGACCTAGAGGATTATGTTAAAATTCTCCAACATGTCAAAATGTTATTACTCAGTATTCTAGATTCCCTATGGATATACACTCCATCTATTTCCATGCTAATGCCACATTCATCTATAATAACCAGTGCTTAACATCATAGGTATTAGGTGCTAGAAAACCCACTGTCACTCTTACCTAGATAAGCAGAATTCCAATGTTTTTTTAAGCACTTCTCGGGGGTCTTCTTGGCTCTCTGGTTGAGAATCATTTCCTCCTATGTAATAGTAATGATAAAGTTAGTAAAAAGGCTTCAAATTCACCAACTAGATGTTTTAGTACAATTCTAATGCTCTCAATACACATGTCAATGAACTTCTGTAAGTGTATAGGGACTATAAGGAAAATGCTATTATTTTATCTGGTAAAGAAATCCAGGCAAAAAAGAAAACAAAGTCTCTTATACACATACACAAAACAAAGTTTAGAAAAATAACCTGAGGTGTAAGTTTTATTAGTAAAGTTCAGAAGAGATGTTTTATCTCAAAATAACAGGTATTTAATATTTTGCCACACTTCACAAATAAATTTTTAGGTAGCTTGTAACAATAGTGAGGAGCTCTGGTAGTGTAGTGCCTAAAGCAATTGACTGCTAACCAGAAGGCTGGCAGTTCAAACCGACCAGCTACTCCTTGGAAGGAAGATGGGGCAATCTACTTCCGTAGTGATACTGCCTCAGAAACCCAAGGAGGGGTCGCTATGAGTCAAGTCCGACTCGACGGCACACAACAACAACAACAACATAACAATAGTGACAATAAAATATCATGAAATAATCAAAACAAGGAAATGGTAGATATAGGTGCAATTCAGGATTGGGGATCACAAAGATACAGACAATAAATTTATATAGTTTTTATATAACACTCATAAATTTATTTGCCTCTAAATTTGTCAAAGGAACAAATAAGAAACTATTAAGTTACAGAACTTTTATTGCAAAGTAGCAAATAAATAAGATCATCAAGGGAAACAAAAGCTAATATTAAATTTTAAAACAAATTTCCATATGAAGATACTGAATGGTATGGTGGATGATGTTGCTGCTGTTATGTGCTGTCAAATCAGATCCAACTCACAGCAACCCCTCTTTGGGTTTCCAAGGCGGTATCACTACGGAAGTACATCGCCCAATCTTCCTTCCGAAGAGCGGCTGGTGGATTTGAACCACCAACCTTCTGGTTAGGAGCCAAGTATCTTAGGCAGTCCTCAATTATATGTGTGTATATATATATATAGAGAGAGAGAGAGAGAGAGAGAGAGATCTCATCAGCAATGACATCGCTCATTCCATGTCCTGGAAGTTCCTTGTCAATACAATGCTGCAACCATTTCTGAATTCTCTTCAGCAGAATTTTACTTATGTGTGGTATTAATGATATTGTTCAATAATTTTCACATTCTGTCGGATCATCTTTCTTTGGAATGGGCACAAATATCCATCTCTTCCAGTCAGTTTGCCAGGTAGGTAGGTGTCTTCCAAATTTCTGGGCATAAACGAGTACATGTCTCCAATGTTGCATCTATTTGTTGAAACATCTCAATAGTCTGTCAATTCCCAGAGCCTTGTTTTTCACCAATTCCTGGAGCTTTGTTTTTGGCCAAATCCTTCAGTGCAGCTTCAACTTCTTCCTTTAATATCATTAGTTCTTGATCATCTGCTATCTCCTGAAATGACTGAACACTAACCAATTCTTTTTCGTACAGTGACTCTGTGTATTCGTTCCACTTTCTCTTGATGCTTCATGCATCATTCAGTATTTTGCATAGAATCCTTCAATATCGCAACATGAGGCTTGAGTATTTTCTTCAGTTCTTTCAATTTGAGAAAAATCAAGTGTGCTCTTCCCTTTTGGTTTTCTAACTACAGGTTTTGCACATCTTTTGTTATAATACTTTACTCTGTCTTCTCAAGCTACCCTTTGAAATCTTGTCTTCAGCTCTTTTATTGCGTTAATTCTTTCATTCACTTTAGCTACTCTCCATTTAAGAGCAAGTTTCAGAGTCTCTTCCGACATTTATTGTTCTGGTTACATAGTGCTGCTCTGACAAATATACCACAAATGGGATGGCCTCCATAAAGAGAAGTTTATTCTTACAATTTGGAGGCTTTATGTCTGAGTTCAAAGTGCCAGGCTCTAGGGGCTGGGTGAAAGCCCCTCAACCTTGGGCTTCAGCTCTGCCTCCTGCTCCCAGCCCACTGAAGCTAGAGGTTTTTCTTCACTCAGCTGCTAGCTGCTGATGATTGGACAAGCCCTAGGTTGACAAGTAATAAGGCACAATCCTGATGTTACCAAACCACACAGCAGGTCATTAATTCCATTAAAAGTCCCAAGATCGACAGAGCATGGCAGGCTGCTGAACAACAACTCAGCTACACACATGGTTCAAGTGTGCCATAAGCTAGAGACCATTCCCAAAGCTGTTTCTTATATACAGGAAGCAGACCACATACCAAAAGCAGCTACTCAGCTGCTCCAACAGATTCCACCATGGAGTTAATTACCAGTCTCACCAAGGGGAAAAACTACATTCAGCTGCCCAATCAACCAGGCCCAGCCAAGGTGACACACAAACTTAACGACCACACCTATGTTTATCTTTTTAATGGCCTTCTGCTTTATTCATGTATAATGTTCTAGATGTCATCCCACAACTCATCTGGTTCTCGGTCACTGGTGTTCAATGCGTCTACTCTTCAATTGGTCTCTAAATTCAGGTGGGATATAAATAAGGTCGTATTTTGGCTTTCACGGACTTGTTTTAATTTTCTTCAGCTTCAACTTGAACTTGCATATGAGCAAGTGATGGTCTGTTCCACAATCAACACCCATGGAAGCAGCAGTCAAGAATCCAGATGCTATACTGCACTGGCAAATGTGCTGCAAGAGATATCTTTGAAGTGTTAAGGAACAAAGATGTCACTTTGACGACTAATGTGAGCCTAATAAAAACCATGGTATTTGCAATTGCCTCATATACAAGTGAAGCTGGACAAGGAATAAGGAAGACTGAAAAAGAGTAGGGACCATTCCCTGGAGAAGGTTATCATGCTTGGTAAAGTAGAGGGTCAGAGAAAAAGGGGAAGACCCCTAACGAGATGAACTAACACAATGACTGCAATGATGGCTCAAGTATCGGGCAGTGTTTTGTTCTGTTGAACACACGGTCGTTATGAGTCAGAGCAAACTCGATGGCACGGAACAACATGGTTACAAGATGCATATGAATGACATGTAACAATGTATAATGGACCAACCTAGAGGACATTATACTGAGTGAAATCAGTCAATCACAAAAGGATAAATACTGTATGAAACTACTACTGTAAAAAGTTACGAAAAATTTTCTGAGAGCTGCCACTTAGACTCTGGCTGTGAACTCTGCATCTGAAGCAGGAGCTGTCTATTCCCCATCTCATGTCCCGTTGTCACCAATAAAGACTGTTCACACCATAAGAAAAAAAACAAAGTTAAGAAAAGGTTTACACACAAAATCATTATTTGAAGGTTACCAGGGCTGGGAGGAGAAGGAAGGGTAAATCACTAATTAGAAAGTAGACATGTATTAATTTGGGTGAAGGAAAGGCAATATACAACAAGGGGAAGGTCAGCACAAAATGATCAAGACGGTGGAAAAACAGAGTGCAGCACGAGAGTTAAAGGCAACAAAGGTGAACATTTATATACACAATCTGCTTTAACAGTAATAACAATAATCTTTGAGTAGATACACAGACACTCAAACTGAATAGAGGTGGGAAAGCAGATGGGATTATGCCCTCAAATATATGCAGGTTTGGCAAAGGCTATCTCTACACATTTATTTAGATATGCTGTGAATATATCCATGAATGTATTAAGCATACAGGGGGCAAAGTTATGAAACCTTCTTAGTCATTACTAAACTCCTTGAGGGAAAGAGTCACTGTACATGGGGGCTCAGGACCGCAGTCTTGGGGGACGCTAAGGTCAACTGGCATTAACACAGTCCATAACCAAAATGTTCTACATGCTACTATGGTGAGTAGTGACTGGGGTTTTAAAAGCTTGTGAGGGACCATCTAAGGTACAACTATTAGTCTCTCAGTCTCTCCCCATCTGGATAAAGGAAGAGTGCATCAAATCAAAGATGCAAGAAAACAATTAGTGGACCACATGAAATCCAAGCTCTATCACCCTGAGAACAGAAGAACTAGATGGGGTCTGGCTCCCACTGCTGACTGCTCTGAAAGGGATCACAATAGGAGGTCTTGGACTTGTTAGTTGCCATCAAGTCATCTCCGACTCATAGCAACCCTATGCATAGCAGAATAATATGCAGAGATAGCCTCTGTCCAGTCCTGAGCCAGCTCCATGATTCTTGCTGTACTTGAGCCCATCGCCACAGCCACTGTGTCAATCCACGTTGTTGAGGGCCTTCCCCTCTTTCGTCGACCCTCCACCTTACCAAGCATGACACCCTTCTCCAGGAAATGGTCCCTTCTTACAACATAACCAAAGTATGTGAGATGAAGTCTGGCCATTCTCGCCTCCAAAGAGCATTTTGGCTGCACTTCCTCCTGGACAAACCTGTTAGTTGTTTTAGCAGTCCACAGTACTTTCAGTCTTTTACAGCCAACTTGCCCAGTGCTATACATCATCTGATGTCCTGACTGCTGCTTCCATTGGTGTTGATTGTAGAACCAAGCAATGTGAAGTTTTTGACAATTTCACTTTTCTCTATTTATTATAATGTTGCTTATAGGACCAGTTGTGAGGATTTTGTTTTCTTTATATTGAGATGTAATCCATACTGCAGACTGTATTCTTCAATCTTCATCAGTAAGTACTTCAAGTCATCCTCACTTTCAGCAAGCAAAGTTATGTTGTCAGCATATCACAGGTTGTTGTTAATGCTTCCTCCAATCCTGATGCCACGTTTTTCTTCATATAATCCAG